GTGTATAATTAATTGTTTATTGTAAGTTACTTAAAATGCAATCACAATTGTTTGTCAAAACAATTTTAAGCATCGAATGGTGCTTAAATACTACATATATGGTAAATTTACCTATTCCAGTAGATTGGAATCCATCCATAGGTAAGGCCTGAGCCCCAGCAGAGAGGATATTAATTAATAAGCTAGCAATGATGACGGTAAATAAAAAATGCATATAAAATGAAAAAAGGTAATATTTGAATTTGTATTTTCATCATGCTTGAACCAATCAGGCTCTTAGCCGCTTATGCGAATAAATACTATTATTACTTTTCATAAAAGAAATTGACTCGAACGCATATATACAGGTATTTTAAAAGCCTAAATTACAGGATTAATTATCTTAATCACTAAACAATATTTTCAAATAAAAATTGAAACATTGAAAAACGCAATAACTGTGTAAAATTTTGTGTCCAATCACGTTTTATTAAAATAAAGGCTTACTTCATCTTTTTATAATTTTATCATTGTTCGTATAATTTATTTAAATTAATAACCATTGTGTGAATATGGAACAACATCGAACATCAATTATGGAGAGAAGTGTGGAATTAATAGTCTATATTTAGCAAAGCTCACGTCAATATTCAACATTTAAGCGGACGTACGCAGTTTGATGACTTCAATACAGCAACTAACAGGAGATCTAGAAGTAAATTACTTATAAATACATATAAAGTTAAATAGCAATTCAAGGGAAAAGGATAAAATATTTAAACATTCATAAATAAGGTTAACTCAAAACGATGATCCTAATTAGCTGCGCAGATTTCCATCTTTCAATAGAAAAGCAATCAAATGTGATTTACGTTCTTTTTTTAACTACAATAGAATAGTAGAATATTTATTTTATATCAAAATACAGTAAGGTTATTGACAGTTGATTTTCATTAACTTTTCGTCAATCAGTCGATAACCGATGTTTGCTAAATTTGTATTAGCAAACTGAAAGCGTCGAGCTATTTCATTTATTATGAATCGTAACACACAATTTTTAAACTTATTCCAGCTACTTTTTATTTTGTAGCAACTATATTTAAAAATAAATATTTTGAATTAAGAATTAGTAATGACTTCTTTTAATAAACGTTTGAAATAAGCCAATAAATACTTATACACTAGGTACCTTATCTACGTTTATATTATTGTTATTTACAGGTCTTATATAAAAATTGTGAGAAATCAGTGACCAAAATTAATATTAAACACACTTGTCGTCTTCAAAATGTATGGAACTGATCAAAGAAATTGTACATAGTTTTTACTACGATAATTTTAGAACGGCAGAAAAGTCGTTCCATTTTAATTCCCATAATTGAAAAACTTTATTTTTAAATTTATAAAAATAGATGGATGTTAGCATTCATTAAACGGATTAACCCGGTACCCTAGACGCTCTGTTTTTGTCAGTAGTAACAGAGTAAAACAACAATTTTAACTTTACCTAATTACCTATTTTCGTAGTTATGATAATTTCTATTTCCACGGAAGATAATTATATTTGTTGCTTAAGCGATGAAAATATGGCAAACAGGTGACGATTATTCTCAAACTTTTTTGTATAAACCAAGTACCCACCTACAGACCGTTGGTCTACGACGGAGTGAAATTATCATAGGTTAACAAAAAGAAGATTGAAAATCTACCCTTAACCGGAAGTCAGTTTTATTATTTTCAATTTTTAAGTGCCCCACTTAAATAAAAAAGGTAAAAAGGCTTCCTTTTTTGAAGTCTTATAATAATTTTCGTCCTTATGTGGCGCACTTTTTTGTTAGTGTTTCTATAATTGATATATTGGCATATTGCGGGAACGGCATAAGCAGTACGAATATTTTGTAAAGCAATTATTCACATAAGTATACCATTGGTATACTCGTACTGTATCAAATAAGCTTAATGCTAAAAAAAAATGACATTATTTTTCTAATGTTCTCTAAGAAAAATAATTTTATTGTGCAGAATCGTATGTAGAAGAAACTTGAATTTTGTTAAATCAGAGTTAAATCTATTTTTAACCTTTTTTTAACTTTCATGTTTTAAACCTGATTGCACAAACGTCCACTGAGATTTAATAACAAATTTAAGATCAAATGAAATGTCTTAAATTTTAAAACTAATAACTATTTAAATGGACGTTTGTGCAACTCGGTGTTAGTTCAGTACCCTTGATCAATGGCCAAGTTCATATGACAGCAATTTTAATTATAGTTTATAACTTTTTATTTTGTTCACATTAGCAATGTGATATAGGCTTTAGACGCCGTCTAAATCTTGAATCATTTCACTTTATTAACGTCAGATCTTAGTTCATTTCATACCAGATAAAAGACGTGTTAAGACGTAAACTTTTTCATTAAAACACCGTTTAGATTGTTATATAAATATATTATTTTAGTGGTCGGATCGGCTCCAATGACGCACAGAACATGATTTATTCGGTAAATAATCTAACTCTCCTGCGATGAATTTATCGATGTTACCTAATTCGTGTATCACAAAACAGACTGACGGTACTTTAGGAAATATTTAAATGTACAGTTGACTTTCAATAACAAAAGGTGATAATTCTCCAAGCTTTTGATAGTTAAGTTTGAAATTGATTGCTGAAAGATCTTTTGTAGTAAGCTAATGTGCAACTCTTGTGCAAATCTTATTTTAATACATCATTATGAATACATATTGAAAAACTGATGTTAAATTTTCAGATCTTCCTTCCAGCAAGTAATTTCGCAGCAGTCTTTTGGGTCACCAAAAATGCCAAGTAAGTATTTAGAGCTCTACCGTGCTTTAAATGTACGTCATGCCATTTTTTTCAATTATTTCAAGTTCCAAGAGAAAGCTAGGCCGCAGAAGGTTCCTGAGCTCCTGGCTTAGCTACTTCCGTCAATGGCATCTACAACAGCACCACATAACTATCCCAAGCACGGTTACAAGGTATCCGGGTGGCCTTAGTGTTCACCAACCTTAATAAAAAGGCGGCACCATAAGAAGAATAACCACAAATCATACCGAGCCCGTATACTTTGTTATACTCCGTTCTTCGAAAGTAACGAGCTATTGAAAAATTCGATGGCCTCACTAAGGTTTCGGTTTTGTATTGGTTAGAGCCGTTAGAGCCCGGATTGTAAAACGATACGGGTTAGTAAATAGATGATCCGTTTAATGATTTATCATGTACACATCTGTGGATCTACTACAAGCGCACAGTTTAACCTTGAGTTGAGACAACGGATTTTCAGTGTGAATTGGTGCACATTGGACTATGACGAAGACGAAGGAGTGCTTACGCGCTAGTCGCTGTCGATGTCAAAAGGGTCATTGAATGATACTCCCCCAAGTTTTGTGACGTCACTAGAGGTGAACATCATCAGTTACGTTCATAGGATATTGAAAAAATCATACGAGAGACAAGAACGCATGTCCTCGACTACATCACTATTTATATCACAAGTTTAACAGCTTGGGTCTATTAAAAAATGAGTTATTTTTAGTTTAACGGTAGATTTCTTGGAGAGTTCTGTACCTGCTCGTAAGAAATTATTTATGAGGTATACAGAATACTTAAGCTTCCGCAAAATTATCCTATGTTGTTTAAATGTAAATCAATAGCTAAAATATTATCAAAAATTTCGTGCCTTTCATAATCAAATATCTTGCCGTTGCAAATACTTACCTAATACAAAACAATTTCAATAAAAAGTAGTATATAATATAAAATCATTCAATTTTATAGATACTATAAAATTGTATGATTTTGATATTGAATAAACTATTTATGTAACCTACTATTAAATTTAAAATAGAATAGAGAACTTCTCTCGCTAATTATCAGCTTTCAGTTTTTCGGTCCGACATTATGTGTAACGTAAAATGTCAATGTTAAACCACGGTTAAACCTTGTTATTTATTAATAACATTATTTGAAGGTTTACGAAGTGTCAGTTGAACAAACTCCATGATCTGTAGTTTGCGCTGATGAAATTTTGATATCCATAAGACAGATATGGTTTACGCAAGTATTTAGGTGGAGGAAAAATGGAGGAAAATCGCCAGTACTGGAAAATAAACTGTCTATTGTTAAAAAAAAATACAATAAGCTCTCAATACTCGTTCGACAATGACGATTTATTTGTTACGGTAAATTAGACAAAATTATGAAGATAAAAAAATTTCAAATGAATATCATTACAATTCTTCGTTTAAAACCAGTTTAATGTCTTGTGATGAGGTTACGAACTATTTACTTTCCTTCGGCGGCTTTAAAATCTGTAAGCGTTACATGTCCGACTGAAAAAATATCGTTTAATATGAGCTTTTAGAGACGGGAAAAATCATTGATTCGTATCTCAACAGACCGTAAGAAATTGATAATTAGTCTATAGAAACAATCTGTAGCTTTATTACGATAATATCTGACCACACGCATTTTAGTCAAGTTGCAAAACAAAAAGAGCACCTCTACCATAAGTCTTGAGCTTGGTCACCGAATTCCAATGGTATCAATCTTTTAAGAATATTTTGATGGCGAATACAACAGTCTTATAGTTTACTAGCTGTTTTCCTGCGATTTTGCCCAATTAATGTACCTATGATATAGCTTCCTTTAGATGAGAGATTATTTAAAATCGGTCCAGTTTGAGAGCCCATTCAATTATAAGAAACAACCAATCAAATCTTAATAATATTATTATAGAAAAGTCGGCACAAAGAGGCGGGGTCGACTAGTTAGAAATAATGTCAATAAATTATTATATTTTTGCAAACTACTACTAAATAGATTAAATAATCAAGTTCCAGAATTCGAAAAATATTTTCACTGACTTAATGAACGGCTTCGGTTATAAATTATAAATTTACGCAATTTATTCTTATATGTTATGATAAAAATATTCTACTTGTTTTGATCGAATAGTATGTCGTGCATATTAATTTTTTACTAACTTTTTAAGTTTACTTACAAAATATTCTGCAGAACTCTGATCCGCTAGTGATGGTGAGAGTAGACAACCGGGTGAAGGCGGCGCTGTTGCAGCAGGTGGTGGAGGTGCAAGAGATGACAGTTCTCCCGCAGAAGCAGAAGCACTACCAGCAGCTGCCAGGTTACGCAGCCGGTCAGCCAGATCAGTATGACCAGTCGCGCGTCCACTAGCTTCTTTCTCCTCGCTTTTGCACAAGTTGTCTATTATTCTTGGCCGCCGTAGTTTACGTGATGCAGCTCGCCATCGTCGCAGTCGGCATGCTGCATTATTTAGCACTTCCTCAGTGCGGCACTGTTTCTGATCCTCATCTGATGGCCCTGCATCCTCTTGTTCATCGATAAAAGGCAGCTGTTGGCTTGCTGAGGACGGTGAAGGTCCATCGGGATGTACCCCTTGACCACTGGTAGTTCCCAAAAAGTCACGCAAAGCAAAAGCCAATTTCTGATCAGCACTTAAACCTGCCGGCGCACTGTTTGGACTACTCAGATCCGCCGGCATGAATTTTCTGTCCTCTATTTTTTCTTCCATACTTTCATTCTTTAAGGCACCATTCTCATTAGAATTCAGGTCCACATTTATATCTTGACTATACGAAGGCATTTTATAAATTGGATAATAACAAATTTACACTTATAGTAAAACGTAATGTGAATTTATATTTTAATGTGAATTCTAAAAACAAAACTTTATAACGATAAGACTAGAATTCTGAGAATCAATATTTCTCCCTCGAATTAACAAAAACAAAAAGTCGCAAACGATCCGCATATTTCAATTCAGATCAAACGAAGGTGGTTCAATCCAAACTTTGTATATCTAATCGATTAATTTTGGTAGGTAACACTGATATGCCGTTCCAAATGTTAACTCACTCAACCGAAGACGAAAGTACACCGTAAAAAGAAAGTACTGCACGAAACCATCATCATGAAACTCACGAGATCCGTACCGATTTATTGTTAGTTAAATTACATGCATAATCGGCCTCGAATCGCTTCAACAAGCAGTGTTCGCAAACTGAACAGAGCACTACTGGCTAGCGCTGTCATCGTTGATTGTACTGTACATATACGCAATATTCTCGATAGTATTAAAGACTTCTTGTTTGTATTGACGTACACTCAGCATGCGCGATAAGAACTGACTACACTAGCGCCGTCCGTAGTGAATGCGGGAGTTACTTGGAAATTCAAAGTAGCGCCATCTTCATCAGTTTTTGTAAAACTTCATTAATGTAGGTTCGACCACAATAATGGGCTTTGCAGTAGCTACGAAATTTTGTAGAGCTTATAATATTGAAAGATTGCGTTAGGTGTCACTTATTTACGTCAAGAACAAAAGAATCATTAACTTATCTTCCTAGACTTGAGATGATATTAGGATTATTTTAACACCATCTCGAGTTATGAAAGATTTCTTACGCCACTTTATTTTAAAGAATAAAAATATTACTTCTTGTAATTAGGTAGGTATAATACGGCTGTAAAGTAAGTTAAAATTTAATTTAACGTTCCTATTGTGCTTCTATATTTTGTGTATGTAACAAAATATATATTTTAAAATTTGGAGTATCTTGGAGTAATTTGGAGTTATGTACGTTAGTACAAAACTATTTTTAAATCAAATCAAATATCTCATTCCTCCCCAATGTAAAAAAATATATCGTATAATTAGGGAACCGTTTAGTGGGATAAAAACTTTCGCATTGACGAGTTTTTATTCGTTAGTCTTAGTTATGTATCCCTATAGACAAATCTCCCGGATTACTACTTCGGTCATACTTTTTGTCAAACACAGGAATCGCAAAATCATTATACTTTCTAGCTCTGATGTCATACGACATGGTTCAAATAATCCAAATATTAGTAAACACATAAATTATAGTCTACATTTAGATATTTTTATATATTTATCCAACGTTGGCTATTACTGAATCATGGACGAATTATTACGTCAATCGTAATAGCCTTATGATTGCTCATCGTTTCATATATGTATATAAATGTGTTGTAATTTTTTAATTTATCAAAAACATAAATCATAGTGATATTTGATTTACGTTTTTGATATTGATATTTTATTACATATTATTAATTTGCTTTTTAAGTTAAATGTTTAAATGACACATAGAGAACTGTATTTATCTCTATTTTCTTTTTAAATAGCTCTTTGATCACTTGTCACTGTTTTTATACTTAATCATTTTTTACTATTATATTTTTTAGAAAGAGTAGTCAAACAGAAATAGGTTAACAACCGTTGAGAATCAATTACTTTTAGCAGAGTATGTAAGAGATTTCAATGTAAATGTTAGCGATTAATAATGATTGCGACAATTTGTCACTACATGATCATGCGCATTACAGCATGAAGGCTACAAATTGTTAGGGGAATACCATCATTTACCATACTAAGGACATATTTAATATAGGCTCATCATCACCTCTGCTTTGCTCGGCCCATGCCATCAATAAGGCACATAGATTTCAGTATTCCCAGGTAGCGGTCGTGTTATTATTAACGATGTGTCTTTGGCTTTTAACAGCGTGCTTGGGTCTTATACCTACAACTCCACAGAACAGCAATGTGATTGTTATTCAAGGTCTGCCTACGCCAATAATTCAGCCAACTACGCCACCGGCAAATATCACTATTCCTACAGTAACTTTTCCTACAGTTACTGTTCCCACCGTGACGATACCACCATTCACATTTCCACCTACAGTAACGATACCGACAGTCACATTTCCGCCTACTGTAACGGTACCGCCGGTCACCGGGGTTTCTCCGACAACAGGTGGAGTCTCTTTAGCAGCTGTAATAGTGTGTAACGATTCCGATGTAATATGTGTTGCTAATCCTGATGACATCGATACAGGCCCACTCCCTATTGACCCGAGGTTGGGAACTACACCAGGGCCGTCAGCAGCGCTACAACTCCCAACTATCACCGGATATAGTGCACAAGGGCCATCTTACGACACAAGTGTGAGATTTCCAAGAGAGAAAAGAAGTGTAGACAATGAGGACAACACTATGCTTCAAGTTTTGTTCAATTATAAAAACATAATCATCGAGAATCACAAAATCATTAAAAGACAAAGTTGCGCATGTGTGCCTAATGGTACCTGTGCTACTCCGGGAACAAATAATGGAGCCGGTCTTATAGATTTAAGAATAGTTACACCGGTGAGTAGTACTTGCATTACTAAAAGGTTTCAGTAGAATTATTACTAATATTTTTCTAATTATTATAGGGTCAAGGGCAATGCCCTGCTGGACAAGTGTATTGTTGTACTGGAACCGTTTCTCAGATAGCTTGTGGTATATTACAAGCTACACCCAATATTGCTGTACAACCTGCAGCAGGACAAGCTAATTATGGTGAATATCCTTGGCAGGTAAAACGCAATAATTATTGGGATTTGATGATAATTTTGTGGAAAACTAATTTCAGTTAAACTATTTACTATGTGTTTAATTTCAGGCAATGATTTTAACTAAACAGAATGAATATGTAGCAGGAGGTGTACTTATTGATAGCTTGAACGTTCTAACCGTCACGCACAGACTGCTGCCATACATGTAAGAATTACTATTAGTATTTATATTTCACCAAACTTTTATTATTTCTTTCATAGATTTCGCTTTACTGTCTCAGATACATCAGTGACTGGCGATCCAACCGATATAAACCATATCTACCTGTGGTTGAAATTGTTGATTTCACAATTGATTAATTTGTAAATATAACTTAAATAGTTAATAAATGTTCATTGTGAAACTGTTTGTTAACCCAAATAAACTAAAAAAATATATGTCTAGACCGTTGATTTCTTAAGTTTTATTACTTTATTTGCTTCTAATAGGCATAAGTTTAAAACAGTCAAAACAAAAAAGAAATATTGTGACTAAAATAATTATGCTACAATTATTAATTTTAAAAAATGCATTCATAATGGTATAGGTATATTGGTTTATAAATATCACTTAAATAATTATTTTGTCTCCGACACTTCCAGTAGGCTTTCGTGGTCTTTCGTTAGCAGGACCGCTGTAAAACTTCTTAAACTATTTCAATATCATTTCACAAAAAAAATCTCATAAAAAGGTCCAAATTTAAAACCATAATGTGGAAAAGTAAGATCGTATTCCAACTGCATAAAAATTATGGATCCAGTATATCCACTGTGATGTATAAATATATAATATTTTTTATAATACTTTATTTCAGGTATTTTATATGATATAATGAATAAATATTCGTTAGAAATGCTGCTCAAAGTAACTTTACCACGCGGACTACTTCTATTAACGGATATGTACCTAATCATTTACGTATTATTATATCAGTGTTTCAGGCACAGCTCCCAATATTAAGGTTCGATTAGGAGAATGGGATGCAGCGGGAACCTACGAACCTGTTCCATACCAGGAGTATACAATACAGAAAGTGTTCAGTCATCCTTCCTACAATCCGAACACTCTTCAATTTGGTATTACAGTATTACGACTCGCGACTCCAGTCTCATTTACACCAGCAGTGGGGTCAGCTGTTACTATAAATAGAGCTTGTCTCCCACCCAACCCAGCGTCGACTTATGTGGGACAAAGGTTGGTTACGTTTTAAATCCAGAGGAAACATTCCACTCATACTGGTAAAATTTGTTAACTGACATTTTTTTGACAAAATAGTTAAAAAATACACCATTCGATAGAAAATTTAATGTTAAAACTGATAAATAAAAAAAAAATTGAAAATTTAATGTTAAATCCCATTTTCTTTTTGTAAAAATTTACAGTTGACTGGTTTTACCAGCATGGGTGCGATATTTACTTTTATCTCTTTTTAATTGTAAAGTACTTAAGCTTATTTATTTATTCAATTGATATCTATCATTTTAAAATATCTTCTATAGAAAACATCGTGTAGAAGATTAATAGAAAATATATTCATGCTATCTGATGTCCTATATCTGTATTAGATTAACTCAGTAAAATGATTACTGAGTTGGCCAAATAATATGATATAGGTACTAAGTATATAAGCTAAATTTTTGATTGAGCCAATTGATTCACTCGCCTACCGGTTACTCTACTAGTGCCCAATCCATAGCCGTATTAACATAGTTAAAAAAATCTATATTGACTCGTGTCTGGGTGTTGTGGAACCTCCGTTGTTTCAAATTTCTATAATACGTGTACTAAAGTTTCCCAGGTTGGAATATGTGATGTATGTTGCGTGTTTATAATATTGCCAGCAGTTTTCCCGTAACTTCGTCCGCGTAGATTATAGCCCCGTATGATGTAGCTTCCCTTAGTAAAAGAATTCTTAAAACTACTTCTGTAGTTTCGCATCATATTCCGTGCAAACAAAGAAACAGTCAAATTTTTCCTTTTTATAATATTATATAGTTAGTTATATAGTTAATATTGTTTCCAGATGCTGGGTGTCAGGATGGGGTAAAAACATGTTTGGTACTCAAGGACAGTTCCAGCAGATTTTGAAAGAGGTTGATGTACCCATTGTGGCTTCGGCTACATGCCAGTCGCAGTTACAAGCCGCCAGACTTGGGCCCTCTTTCGTTTTAGACACAACCTCCTTCATTTGCGCCGGGGGAGAGCCCAATAGAGATGCTTGTACAGTGAGTTTCATTTATTTAGAAAACTTCATTGTTTTATACTACTATCTGCTTTTGAGTAACTTTGGCCCCCCCTAAATTATAGTCTGTGTCAACCGCTTTGATTTGATATAAAAAGACACAAATAAACAATCAAATCTTTCTTCTTCTTCGTAATATTAGTAAGTATAGATATAGTGATGAGCAGTCGTATACGGCCATAATTTAGTTATTATTTTAAGCACAGTATCAATAAGCACAATGAGTATCAGCACAAAATACTGCGTGTTAAACCTCGCACAGTATAAAATTCGTTCCACTTAGATGTTCCTTTCAATATTGAATGCTAGGTATATAATTATATTTTGAATGAACTACTGTGCCTTTAAGCGGCAAAACATTTTATTTCAGGGCGATGGTGGATCAGGTTTAGTCTGCTCAGTAAACGGTCAATGGGTTCTAGTAGGATTGGTGTCCTGGGGGTTGGGATGTGCAGCATCTAACGTCCCTGGCGTATACATCAACATTGCAGCACTCTTACCCTGGATTCAGCAACAAGTCGCTACACCATAAAGTTTGCTAACAAATGATGGCTAACTATAAATAAATAAATTCTTTGTTTAAAAATGTTATGTAGTATTTATATTTGAAATAACTCTATCGTAGAAGCTTAACATAATAATTTATTAAGTTAACAGTTTATACAAATAGCCATGTAAACATTATAAAACATTATAATTACTAAACAAAATAAAATAAAACCTACTTACAATAACAGCGTTCTAAACGCAAATTTCAACGGCATTAACTATAACTTAGTATGGGACGTATTCTAGTATTGCAGCGGGAGTTCCGCGTCGACGGACGACAATATTCACTAGGCAACCCGTTCAGTCTTCATCGGGTTTCTCTTGTTTCACCACAAGGGAAGGTGAAGGATTGGGAACTTCTGGGGGTGGGGCTGGTGGAGGAGATGAAACTTCAATATATTCATCAGTATTTCGCTCTTCTTTTATGTCGGGCTCCCTTTTAACTTCAACTAAAGGAGGCACAGGAGCAGGCAACTGTGTTTGAGGCATTGAATCGGGCGGTGCCAACGCAGCCCATGCTGAAGCTGCTCCTCTCGCGTAAGCCTCATAAAATGCTCTCTGGGCTATTTCAGCTTCTTCTAAATGTACGAATGCATGGTTATCAAGCTCAGCCCTAAAGAAGAATTTCAAACCACACCTTCCACAATCAAACGGTTTCGGTGCTGTTGCATGTTCAGGAAGGTGGCGTTGCAGGCCAGCTGCGCTAGTGAACACAGCCGAACACAGATAGCAAGTAAACGCACTTATTCCTGCGAATGTATGTTCTATGAGGTGTGCTTGAAGTCTGGTAGGAGAGCCAAGAGTTCGTCGGCAAAGGCGGCAATCGTGGTCTGCAGGTGGTGGAGGGCGAGGAGCAGCGTGACGTGCGTAACATGAAGAACACGCTCGAGCACCCTCCCCTGTTTCACTCTCTATCAGCGCTCTTAAGCATATCGCGCACCTTTGTTCATCTTCTGCAGGCCTTAAGTGGAAGCGGGCGTGAAGTCTGGCTTCCGCCTCTGAAGCCAGAGTTTGCCGACAAACAACGCATGGTGCAGGCAACGAAGGATGATGTCGAGCCATATGAGTTAGAAAAGATTCTTCGGACGGTAGGCGAGCACGACATCGAGCACACGTGTCACCAGCAACAACCTAATAAAAGAAATTTATTAGTCCAAATTGTTTTGGTTTTATTCCTCGTTTTTAAATAAATATATTTAAATTTAGTTTTTACTGTTCAATATACTGCAATATTACTAATCAATCGTATTAAAACATAGTTATATTAATCTACATGATGAATGTATGAACCTTGCAATGTGTAAGCTTATGTTCAGCAAGAACAGCTGCTGAGGGCAACACCTCATCGCATATCAGGCACTTGTGCCTCGCAGTAGCCGCGCCAGAGTGAGCACGTGTATGAGCCTCGAGTTCTGCGCGACTGCGCGTGCGTTCGCCGCAGTACGCGCACTGCAGCGCGACTGCACCATTTTTGCGTCGCCGCTCTTCCACTATGGGGCCATTTCCGTCTGAGCTGGGTGTGCACGGCGAACAATTTCCATCGGTACCTTCTGCACTATTGTTGTTATCCAATCGCTTTACTCTTGATATCTCACCGTTTATAGACTGGAAGAAAAAAAAATCTGTTAAAGCAATTAAAAGCCAAGGCCTATGACCTACGTAATATACAAGTAGTATTATAATATCCTTGAAGAAAAATTGCTTAAAAAATTCACTTTGTCCCTGGCACTCCTGGCACTGAGTGGACTTTTTTAAGCATTTTTCATTAAAGAATATTTTTTAGCATTGTGAATTTAAAATTGATGAAATATAATAAATAGTATTATAATATTTGTGGTCTTAAAAGAAAGTGAATGTATATATATATTTTAATACATGATTCGATTTCATTATTAGAGTTACTTTACCGCTGACAACGGAAATTACGGTAACCATTAGGTATATCTATTTCTGTCTTACTATATTATTAACTTTTAAGAAACCTGTTAATACAAGACGATAAAAACGGATAATTATTTATTATGATTTAACCGATCTTTAGCGATGTCTGTCGCTATTTAGCGGTCAAGACAAGAAAAGTCAGATTGAATAGGGATCCGCCGCGAACTCGATCTTTCTGCGTATTAATTGGCTGAAAATTTTATTAATTGGCATTACATATACCCTTAATTAATGACTAGTGATAAATAAGAAGATCGTCTCGCCTTATTGGTGAATTTAAGTGGAAATAGTGACTTGCAGTTTAGATCCATCATCTGGGTCTGATAATACATTGCGTCTTGGAGCTACTCTGGTGTACGTCACTGCGTGCTTTCTTTCGTCTTGAATCGGAACACTCATATAATATCAGTAGTCATATCATATATCTATTTAGTAGTATACTACCGTACCTGGTGAGGAGATGCGTGATGCACTTGCATGTGTCGCTCGAGCAAATACTGCACGGTAAAGGTCTCTGTGCAGGCCGGTGCGGGACAGCGGTAAGCGCGATGTGGCCGCGCCAGACGACCGGCTCCGCCCAGTACTGCACCGCACGCACACCGCGCAGCTGCCGTCACATGTCTGGATCGCACATGCGCCGTTCCCTCAGCTTCCGAACGTAACGGACCTGCGTTGCCACCACAAGAGCGACACATCCACACCTTGTTTTCACCACTGTGGGCTACAGCAAAGTGTACCTGAAATAAAAGTTATAGTGATGGTTATAACAAAGTAACCATTATACTTATTATGGATAATAAATGTAAGATTAAAGTATTTATTGCAAAGGTATAGTTTTTGAGACAAAATCATCAGATCAAATAAGTTCTCACCTGAATAGCTACTTTTGAGTCGAAGATTTCTTTGCACAAAGAACATCGATAGAGATGATGAGCATGTAAGTCTAGAAGATGCTTTTGTAAATCGTCTGGAGCTGAGAAACTTCGTGCGCAGCTGTGACAAGTATATTCACAAGACACTGCCAAATAATATGCGGCGAGGTGACGTTCAGATGCCGCTGCATCGGCAAATGTAGCACCACAATGCAAGCATGGGGCGGGACTCGATCTTCCTAACTCTCCACCTTCTTCTAAATGACCTTTCAAATGATTTCGGAATGCTTCGAAGTCAGGCAGTGCCGCATCGCACTGGTTGCAAAGAAGAGTACTGGGAGACAAAGCTGTTTGTGGTGTACCAGAACCAGATCTAGGTCGTTTGGCTGACGGTACATCTTCTGGCGCTCGTCTACTAAGATCTGTAGGTATCGGTTGGTCAATTTGCATGGGCGTCTCTCCATTTAATAATGCGGAATGTGCTGCACGTACATGAAGTTGGAGTTGTTCCATACTGGTGAAAGTGTCACGTGTACAATATATACATGCCAGAAGTGTAGGTGGGGGTTGCGATGCGACCCGCCGTGGTGGAGATATCGCAGTTGTTTCAACACCATGCGCGCTGACCATATGTGCCTGCAATGATTGTAATTTCACTATGTTTATTTTATTCAAATAACAGAATTATTGAGAGAGTCTGTGGTCTAAGATGAGACTAAGATCGTGGGACTGAGTGCTTTTAATTTTAACCCGAAATCTGAGGAATAAGTTCTTAAAAATTTACTGTGGGTTTCATGATGCCTCATATAAAAAAGACAGATAATCTTTCACTTTTTAGGTAACCAATGATCAATGTATTGTAAGGGTACTGTGGTTTTTACGTAGTTTTGTGGTTAGAAGGCTGCTTGACAAGTAACTTTATTTTATATACCTGAAGTTCTGTTAAATGACAATATAAAGTGACATAAAATGTATATATACCAATACTTATCGGATACAATACATAACCAATACACTTATTTTGACTTTATTGTGGGTAACAAATTTCTTTTACTTTCAAACTAATATTGATTTATATCTTTCCCACTAAGGGTTGCCAGATAGCAAGACTAAGAAATCTGGACAAAAACCCACTTTTTATTAATTAAAATTTTAAAATAATAATAAGTATCTACTTTTTGTTAATTTATAAGATCATATAATAATAGTTTAACATTTAAACAGCTTATATACCTACTTTTTATATTTGTTCCGATATGTTTGTTATTTTATTTTTTTATACTTTGAATTCTATTTTTCAGAATCTAACAGTTTTTGTCAGGACGTTTGTTTTTTTCGGGACTCTGGACATCATACGAAATGTCTGGACAATCCACACGATCCCGACCATCTGGCAACTCTATTCCCACCACGTACACCACACCTATAGTTTGGTATAAGTAGATTGAGAAATGGATAAAATACCCAAAAGTCTATTTTTAAAGAAGTCTGTAAAAATTAAGACATACTTGTAGTAAGTCAGGGCGTCTAAAGGCATCTCCGCAGCGTAAACATCGAAGCACCCGTCGGCGATCAGGCTCGCGTCCCTCCCGGTCTCTTTTATGACCCTGCATATGCGAAGTCAACGCTGCTGCTGTATTGTATCCTCGATTGCATACCGTACATTGGAACGGTTTCTGATTGTCATGTGTTTTCATGTGGATCTTCAAATGATCACTGAAATTATTTATATTAATGTTGATGGGTAACTCAAAAGCTATCTCCATAACGAAATAATTTCGAAGTCAGAAACGTAAAAAAATATAATAACGACTTTATGACATCTTGATTTTACTCAGAACCATCTTAATCTCGAGACACATTCAAAAGAACCCATCACGAAAACATCCGAGGAAGAATTTAAAAATTAAATGAGATAAATCGCTTTTGTGTGACCAGAGACGACAATTTGTCATACGAGACATAAGTGCCCACATAAAGCACGGACCAAACAGAATTAACAAAGGGGCTTTTCACGCAAACTACAGAATAGAGGCGCTCGCCCAAACACCTCCGCTAATGGCCACGCTCGCGGTGCCGGTTTAGGTACGGGCCATTATTTTATTTTTGTGAGACCCTCGACGCCATTTGTCAGCTCATCATCTCTTTTCACTCGTCGTCGGTTCGTTGGGCCGACAAATTGAGTGGAATTAGTCACGTGACCGCGGCGAGGTGACGAAAAAGGTGACGCGTCGGCTGGGCCACGGGACATGAGTGATCAATCTTGAACTGCCCATTGTCGTGCGCCTCTCCACCGCTTACATTCAAGCTTAAGCTATTTACTCATTGGCTTCGGATCAAAAGCATTAGTATTCCGGAATGCAACATGACTCGGGCATATTTTAATACCAATAATATTAACATAATGCTAACGATCTATATCTAATAAATTTTAATGTCCTAATAATTGCCAAAAATATGATGCTAAATTTAGCATTGTGTAAGTTGGAAATTACCCACAATTTCCAAACTGTCTCTAAAAATTTGTAAATATTTAACTCCTACACTTTTATGATAATTTTATTATTACAACTACTATAAGTAAATAATATAATAAAGTATTCATAGTAAACATTGTTTCATGTCCTACGACATGAAATATATCCTATGACATGAAATAATATTTGTAAATGGTGTATTTACACTGGTCAATCACGTTCGCGTCCGAAAGATTCCTGTTTTTCGCTTTCCTTGGTCGATCATTGCGTTTAATTGACCAATGATATGAGCGCGCAGAGTATAAATGAGACATAAGGTACAAATCGCAACTTAACCTACCTTCTCGAGAAAGCCGCAGGGCAATGTGCACAGCGATACTTGCGATCTCCAGTGTGTAGCTTCACGTGTCGATCCCGTGAACGTTTGTGTTTGAACAGTCGGGAACAGAACTCGCATCGGAACGGCATTTGGTCAGAATGCGTCTATGGAAAAGAAATATCCAATGTAAGCTAAAGTAGAAAAATAATTTGGCAAAACGAAAATGTAAGGTTTATAAGGTATGATAATAGAATATTAATTACATATTTGGAAGATGTAGTTATTACCCAGTGATATTTTGGACAAAAGAATTTGATTTACTTCAAATATACTTAAGTAGAAACCAGAAAAACGTTAGCATTTCTCTGTTATTTAAAATTGAAGTGTACCAAACTCGAAAATCAGCGACTGATTTCATCCGTTCTTCTCACAGCTAACTAACTGTATTTGAAAATGTTATCATCATTGGAATGGGAACCGTAACATCTTATTTGATCTTAGTCAGCAACGATTAAAATGTGTAAGTCACAATGATAGGGGACCGGCTCCGGGTGGTGCCTACAAAAACCATCGTGAGAACTGCCCGTGGACAATGGGCCGCTACCGGTGCTGCGTGATCAGACATTGCCGGCTTTTAATAACTCAATAGTAATAGTCAAGCGCGACTCTAACATAATCGATAGAGTATCTTTTCCCATATTTAATTTTCCAAAGTGAAATGGTAATGTCTAATAACATTTAAACATTAACAACATTACCACCTATATATTAATACTTCTTTTCGTGACTGAAAAAGTTTCGTACATCAAAGAAGACTAGACGGATGTCCATTTTTGATACTTAACAGGAAAAGGAATTTGATCTTTTAAACGTTTATAAACTTACACTATTCAAATTTTTGAAAAAAAAATTTAGGTGAGTCGGATGACAATGTAATTATGTTTGTTTTTGCTGTAGTAGTTCTTAGATATTCCAAAAACAACATCGTTATTAAATATTAATTTAAAAAAAAGAGTAACAGACGACCTAAATAATTAATGCATTTTCTCATAACTTGGTCGGATAATAACATCTGCTGTTTTGGTTCCAAATAATATAAAGTTTAATCAATGATCTTTATATCCGAACTTATTTCTATGAGAACTGTTTTAGTAAATTTTCTTATAAATTTTAACAAAATACTGAACTAAACATGTACATAAGGATATGTGTTTTTATCATTTTTATATGTGTTTATATCTGCAAAGTTTACAGATACTTCATTTTTATAATTTATTTTTGTCGTTTGTATGATTTGTCGTATGTAAATCTGTTCCCTATAAATATCTATCTAGCTAAATAAATCTAGTGTAATTATATCAAAATATTATTTAGCAAAACATAGCATTAGCAGTGTACTTATTAAAAGTACGTATTTGTTTTATTTTCAGACCAACCAATTTATTAAATTACTTAGTCAAGTAACACTTAGTACTAACAAAATCATAGTAAATATTAATAATAAAACAAGACGATTATTATTTATGTTTTTGCTTATGAAATGATTAAATATATATTATTTGAAGTGATGTTGCTTCATTTTTCTAAAAGCATACAGATTCATAAATACCCACCTAAAAGTCTTGACAGTATGAAACAGCATATTATTATTTTTTGAAGTCAGTGTTACTCTCATAAGAAAAGTTATTCAGTATACGTAACTAATCCACCCCAAGAAGTCCTGGCATATAATTATATTACACCTTATATATTTAATGTTTTTGATTTTATTAAATTCAATTATTGGAGGCTCGTTAAATAACTACAGTAATTGAACCCCAAAATATCGGAAGACATTAAATCGTGACACTGAAATAAGATATCAGCGCTATTGGGAATCGCCATAGTTGTCGAAAGATTGATTGGGGCGATACGATAATTGTTCGTCTGATTACTTTCTGCCTTACGCAACAAAAAGCCTCAAACTCTCTATCGTACATCACATTTATTTTTTGCAATAGAAATTTATATCTTATGGCGTAATGCCATTAAGTTAAGATGCCAATAGCCCGTAATTAGTAGCTAATAGGTCTTAACAGCGATATTATTTTAGTAATTTATTCACTGAGAAGTGAGAACTCATGTGCATGTAGCTTATTTTTAACCGGCTTCAAAAGAAATGAGGTTCTCAATACGACCTATTCTTTGTTTGTATATTTCTACTATACCTTCGTTAATAGCGAATTTTGACGATTCTTTTTATGAAAAGGCATGAAATGGAATCAGTATTTTTGCTTTACACAAAACTAAATCGACGCTATTGGCATACTCGTATTTTTCTCATATATATATATAATTTTAGTCTCTGAATACTTACTAGATACTTACATACTTAGTTAATGATGATCACGAGGATTGGATTACAGCTCGTTTGTGAACTAAACCCGAGTACAAGATTTTATTAACCGCCCGACTTTAAATAAAGTTTCTTGAATTTGTTAAATACCTTTGCAAAGTACGAAAATGATTGAGTTATTAATGCTGTATATATACAGATCTATAAAACAAAAATAGTTGTGTTACTAAAATATCTATACTAATATTATAAAAAGGATACTATTATAAAAAGTTTTGTTCGTTTTTTTGCATCAAATAGGCTCCGAAATAACTAAATTGTCTTTTAAGAATCTTTCACCTCCAGGAATCTAAGTCAAACGTGGTGATATAGTGATATAGTCTATAGTTTATGCGAGCGAAGTAGAAAGAAACCAGCTAGTATGTTATGAAGTGTTTACAAAAGTGTCACGATGTTATTACGATCGTATTTTGAAAATTACATTTGATTTTCCTCTTTTTTCTTTTCCTTATTTTCCACTCGACACACAATAATTATCTTTAAGAAAAATATCATTAAACGCTAAAAAGGATATCAAAATTTTAACGTTATAAGCAGTGGTCGGAATTAGGCAGAGTTATTTATGTACTTGCATCGAAATGTTGATATTAATGTGGACCTTAGTGGTAACATCGCGCGTATTGGTATTTTGCAACTTTGGACATCCGATGTCATTGATGTAAGTTTGGCAACGTCGTGCGTGCAGTAGTTTTAATTGTGTAAAAGTAAATAACTTTTTATTTAAAAAATCACGGATTTTTTCTGCTCTTTAAAATTAATCTCGGGATTTGAGGCATATCCACTTTATTCTTTCACTGTATGAAATCAGTGTAAGTACATGAATAACTCTACCTAATTCCGACCACTGGTTATAAGTCATCATCTTTCTCATTGTCTGACCTGTACATTTCGTTTCATTTTTAACCGATTTCAAAATCGAAAAGGAGGAGGTTATATGTTCGACGGTAATGTATGTTTTTTTTTGTATGTTCACCGATTTTTCCGCAAATTGTTGATCGATCTGCAAATTCCTTTTTTTATTCGACAGCCAATGGGCCCGAAAAAGTTTTGTTTTTATAACAAAACAAAACATGTTTTTCACCAAATATACTTACAAAAAACTTACGTCCGACTTCAATAGCAATTTCTTGAATAATTAAATTGCTTTCAATATAAGTATTATTATTTCTTTTCTAAAGTTTCAAGTAAGTTCTATTTTTTGAAATATCTTTAGTGTATAAGCACCCACAATAAAATGCTTTCGGTTCCTATTAAGCAAACCAACAATGTTAACGTCTTTATTAACCGGAGCAGTATCCTGACTGGCAGCGGGAGCCCTGCCGTGATCGATGGCTAGCTCATTGTCCGCGTCATTGAGCGTAACGATCGATATATATCCGATAACATTGCTGCGCGGGAGCAGCTTTTATCTCTTATCGATCACCTCTCATTCCTCATCTTGGAGATAATTTTTAGAAAGCTCTATACATTTTTAAAATATTCCCTATACTACCTATTAACAACTATGTAAATTAGCGCTGAAAATACGATTTTATTAATGTAAAATATTATTTTTAATTGTTATAATACTCAATT